TTCCTACAATAAAGTGCCAATTGTCATGATTGTGCTATTTTATCTATAAGATAACCCGGGTTTACACTTTGTTTCTTTAATATCTGGGTCTTGCTAGTGAGTATATGCCTATTATTTTATAGTATCTCTTTTTTGGAAGGATCAAAATGATGTATATGATTCTTCTCCATTTTTTTTTTATGTTAATTACCCTGTCAATAATATTCTTTCTAATTGTGATATCTATACCTGTTCCCATATCATCATTGCTATGCCACCAGGTGGTATAGCCTTTGGTCTTCCAGTGTTTGATTTCTTCATTTTTCCTTTTTGTTTCTATTGTAATAATGATGTCCTATGCTTTGTAGTTCTAGGAGTTCATCTATAGTTTTCTTTTTATTGGATCATTAAGTCCTTAACAGTTGCAGGTGGTGACAGTCGAAAAGAATTTAGGTTGTTATTTGTATATATTGATATTATTGAAGATGTGGAGGGATTCATTATTAGTGTTTGGTTGTATGTTGGTAGTTACTTTATTTTGTTGTGCTTCATTGTGTGTGATATAGTTGTTGTGATGTGTGGATGCATTGGAGGTGTTGTCTAGTTGATATACATTGTTGGTTGTGTCTTGTTGTGATTATAATTATTGAGCAATAAAGTCTTTTGATGTGGAAGTATTACTTGTTGCATTACACACATTTAATAATTAATAGGATGAGGAGAGCTTGTGTTCGTAGGAATTATATTTGTGATAGTAGAGACTAAAACATTCACTTTTCTGTCCTTATTTTCAATAGAGTTGTGCAGATTTTGTTGTTACTGTTGAATATCACTCAAGTCTGAAGTGTGTTGGATAGTAAGTACTTTATTGTTAGTACTTTGGTTGTGATTTTCCTCCATATCTTCTACATTATCAAAGCAATATTGTTCTAAGCTATCAATTATTTTGTTGAGGTTGTGCAGGGCTTCTTTAATTGTTTTGAGCTCTGATTGAATTTCAGCTAGCATATTTGCTATATTCTGGGTGTCCTCTTGTTGGATATTCAAGGGTTGTTGTGTATATTTGTTTTTCATGACTGAGGTGTAAGATCCCAAAAAAGTTGTAACCCTTCTGATATGTGAGTTTGTCAATTTGTAAATGAGTGCTAAATTGGCTGATCTATAGTGTTGATATAGTTTTCCAAATTTTTTGGTTTGTTCATGATTGAATTCCTTCCATTGTTCATTTCTTTCTTTAATAACACAGTTTGATATGAGATGTTATAGGCTGTTACAAATAGCAAAGAGTTTGGTATTGATTGGTTTGCATTCCAGGATTGTTTTACCTAATGTGAAAGTTTTAGTAAGTGCTTGTTAAAGCATGACTTTATCCTCAAAACTAAGGACTGCGTATTTTCTGGTTTGTATGATAATGGGTAGGGGATGTAGCAGGTTTTGGCCCCTGTTCCTTGACAAATGAGTTTGAAATCGAAAGCATTTGTATTGGGTGTGAGGTTTGTGAGTTTAAGGAAATAATTTCCCCAGTTTTTCATTTGTTTAAGATCCTATTCTGTGTTAAATATTCTTACAAAATGTGCTTTAATCAGTGTACTTCATTGGTCTAGAATTTTGAATTTGTCTTCTCTATTGATTAATGTAATTGTCGCAGATTGCATATATTTCTAGTTGTTATCTTTATATTATTAATTTGTCTAAATTTGATGAAGGTTTGTTGTACATCTATGAGCTTTGTATTCAGGAAATATTCTATACTCTGATGCTGCATTCCTTATCAAGCCTTTTTTTCATATGTGATTGATATAGGTTGTTTGTGTTTGATAAGATAAGGTTGCTTACATCATCTGCAGCTTGTTGATCTCTGAATATAGTAATGATGTAGTCTTCATCTTCACGACATTCATTTTGGATTAGAAGAAGGCCTTCTGAGAAGTTTAGAGCTTTTGTGAGGTAGAGTATCTTTTTGTGGATTGTCTTGTCAGGGATTAATGAAGCTTTTACTCTGAGCTTAATTCTTTTATGTCAAAATTTAAGTCTAAAGTCGAAAGGTAATCTAGGTCGTGGTCTTGAACCAGATATGTATATCAATAGTTTCTTTTTCTTTCCTTTGCTATTGGTGATAGTCTGTCAATTATCATCTGTTTCCAAAAGTTCTTTGTTGAGATCTGTGTCAATGTTGGAATCATTAACCCTTGCTATGTACTGTTACCGGGGTTTCACATTGATGCCCACATGTTTTGTGACTGCTAGTACTTAAGATTGCTCTTGTTAGACTTGTTCACTTCATGAGCTAAGACTGCTGTTATTGTTTCTATTGCTGCTAGATGATGATACAGTATTGTTTATGTGATTCTGTTTCGCAGTAGTGCATTTTTGGAAAGAGAGAATTGTTTTTTATTTTTGTTTTCACTTTGAGTTGTTGTTGTATGTTTCTTTTGGGGTATCTGTTCTTTGTTTCTTTCGATGATAGTGACCTTTTCCTTGGATATTTTGTCTATGTTGTAGTTCAACCTGCTAGTAGCATATTGTTATCTCTTGGGTCTCTCCATGTCTTGTTACTTTTTAACATTTTATTACTTGGGTTTGCTATACCACGGGTGAACGGAAAAGAATTGGTAACATGTATATGTTTATAGTTTACTAAAATAATTTAATATATTATCATAATATAATTTTTAATTTTATAATTACAAAATTAATTTAATATTAAAAAAACTAGAAAATAGATAATAAAAATATAAAAAAAGAGTTTGTAATCAAGTTTGAAATAGAATTTGGAATACAAGATATAAAAGGATAATTAAATAGAAATAAATTTAAGGAATTAATAAAAAAAAATAAAATAAAAAAATCTTTAATATTTTTAAATTAGAAAATTACATCTATAATAAGAAAAGAACTATTATCAAAAGAAGAAAAACTAAAAGATGAAAGTTTCAAGAAGATTCTTATAAAAGAAGTAAAGTATAGAATAAAGTGATTAAGTTCTGAGCCCAATAAAAATATTAAATAGTAATTTGCAATAGTAACCTACAAGTAATTAAGTTAGTAGTTAAAAGAATTTTTATCCAAACTATTAATAGAATAATAATTTATTTTCAAAGTTGTACTTAAAGTTTTTAGTCAATTTAAAATAGAGATGAGTAAGTTATATAGAGATTTAGATTTAGAAAAACATTTTATAATATAAAGCATACAATATTTAATAAAGCATACATATCTAGTCTAACAAAGGATTTTAAAAAAATAAAGTTAGTTTACCAATATTTTTTGATTTACTTTTTGTAAAAATATTAACAAATTAACTTTGTTAACATATATTTTAAAATATTATTAAAGTCTATATATTTTTAAATAAATTATGATTTGAAAAAATATTATTTAATTCAGGTTTTTATTTTTTTTTTTTGAAATTTGATAATTATTTTTAAGTAATAATCTTATATATTGCATTGATGTATTTATAATATTATTTATTATAATCTTTTTATTATTATTTAAATACACTTGTCAATTTTTAATTAATTTGTAATCTTATTTTAATTTTTTATACTTTGTAATAAATTATATATTAGTTTAATGGATTTTTGTATATTTGATCAAAATATTTATTCGCTTGATCATATACATATATTGTTTAAATAGTTCTTGTGCAATATTTATTTATTTATATTATTTTAATAATTAATAATCAGTTATAATAAAAAAATCTTTTAATAGTATTCTAAATTTAGTACATACAATAGCAAATAGCAAAAATATGTTTGAATTATTTGAAAAACTATCTATTCATATCGAAAATATAAAAATAAATTGTCAATAATGATTTTTTATTATATTTTTTATTATAACAAATAAAAATATTATTAATTACTATAGATTAATAATTACTTTATCTATAGCAGAATTTTCATTAAACATTTTCACTTTTAACCTTTTCTTTTCTCCTACGCAAATTGGATTTATCGATTTAGGAAAAACATCTACAGTATATCAACGCTTGGATCTAGAAATTTCCAAATGACCAATCAAATAGTGGGAAAAAATTTTTTAAAACCCCATTAAAACTGGGCGTTGATTGGTGAATTAGTTGCATAAAAAAAATTTTTTTTTTTTTGAAAACTCGAGTGTTAGCTCGTGTAATTCGACTCATAAGGAAGCTCCATGAACTGTATCAATATCAATATTTTAAATCCAGAACTATACTTGTGATTACAATATCAATTGTATTGTAGATCGGATGTTTCAACCGAGCGATGCGAAGTTTATTGATCGTAAATAATGTTAGAATCCAAGATCGTAAAAATCCGAGTCACATGATAGTTTGTTTTTCGGATTTTCTAAAGCACCGAGGATTCCGCAGTATCATAGTAATCCAAATCGGGAAAAACACGAGTCGGATATCTACTTTTGTGATTCTATTTGGCGAGCCGTTATGCGCTCAAATTAATCATAATCTAATTTTGGATTATACAATTACGCTTCAACTCTGCATTTGTAAATCTAAGAATATTTTCTTAATGACTACGGAAAAATCCGGATTATATGTTGAATATTCGAAAATGGTGATAAATGGCTATAATGAAACATAAATCCACCGTACACTTTACATTGCGAAATTCTTAAACTCATTACGACCTTTTTGTTACTCAAAATTGACTTTACGCGAAATAAAAATTCAGATTAATTTTCTAAATTGTGTACAATATAATCTGAAAGACGCGCATCGAAAAATAATAATAATATTTTTTTTCTTTATACGATACTATAGTCCCTTGACCTTGCGCAGTAAAATAGCAATTGATAAACGAAAAAGGAAACTATTCACGCTCAAACTATTGATTAATATTTGCATAAGAACTTTTATAGGTGACGCAATAATACAATCTTTTTATTTACCACTGCGCCACTACGCCATGCCATAACACAATACATTACGTAACATAGCTTATTCTGGTGTTCATAATAATTCACAAAAATTTTCGCGAGGGATTTGTTTGCAATTTTGTCATATCATTCTCAGCATGACGAAAGTAAAATTTCAAGAAATTGATATTTTTGAAGCTGAGTATGAATATGCAAACGAGGCAGCATATTCTTGCTTATTCAGTTCATCCTGCGAGTTCAAAGATACGGGAGAACTTCAAGATAAAATCCCTCAAATAGAAAATGATGGCATCGAGATTCCATCCCAAGGAGCGGAGGTTGCCGGGCAATCCAATGAAGACGCACACGAATCAATTCGTCGAAGAATGGGAGACTTGGCCTGTAATAAAGCAGGGACGCAAGGTATAGATGCCGAAAAGGTTAATCAAATTATATATGAGGCGACCAAGGTAATTGTGTTTCGTTTCAGATAAGTTTGTCTAGAAATAAACTAATGAGATTTGCCAAACTGTTTTTGACTAATAGGGTACACCATTTTTTGAAAATGAAGCTAGGAAAGATGCCGCTGTTAGTGTTCGAATTGGAAGGTTAAAGGACAGATATGAGGCTCTCAAAAAAAAGGATTTATCGACGTTCTCATTCGCCGTAGACAATATGATCTATAAATATGAAAGGGAAAGAGATTTGTCTCACACAATTGTTCATGTGGATATGGATGCTTTCTATGCGTCAGTTGAAGAGCGTGACTATCCTGAATTAAAAAATGTTCCTATTGCTGTTGGGGATAACATGATGCTGAGTACATCAAGTTATGAAGCACGCAAGGTGAGATAGTGAATTCCAACAAAAATTGCACCATTAACATGAAATAACTTGAGTGTTTTCTTACAAAATTATATAGTATGGAGTTCGCAGTGCAATGCCCGGATTTATTGCCATGAAATTATGCCCTCAACTCGTTATAATACCGTGCCATTTCGACAAGTATACCGCTGTCTCAAACAAAATACGTGAGATTTTCGCTCGTTATGATCCCAATTTTTCGCCGGTAAGCTTGGACGAGGCTTATTTGGATGTCACAAGCTACATTCAAAATAACAACAAATCACCGGAAGAAATAAGTCAACAAATTAGAAATGATATATTTGTCGAGACAAAACTAACGGCTAGCGCAGGCATTGGAGCAAATATGTTATTAGCTAAGGTATTTTGAAGTTTGGGATATTGAATAATTTGAACTTTCATGAGTAAACTATTTCTTGCAGATTGGGTCAAATATCAATAAACCAAACGGACAATTCTTTCTTCGAAATGATTACGAATGTATCATGCAATTTATGAGGAAACTTCCTGTACGAAAAGTTCCGGGTAATATTGCAATAGCCATTTAAGTATTCGTTATTATTGAAATTTTTTATAGCTAGATTCTGTGCAGTAAAATTAAATTCGACTACGTGCAGTAGTAATAATTATTAAATTTCATTAGAATAAAGTTCTTAATTTAATTTTATTGTTTGAGACATCTACATTAATTATGAATTTATCAAAGGTATCGGAAAAGTCACAGAAAGAATTCTTAATGCTTTGGATATTAAAACATGTGCCGACATAATTGACAAGCGCCTATACCTTTATCGGTTATTCTCGGAACAGTCGTTCAACTTTTTTATGCGTGCTGCGCTTGGAATCGGCTCATCGATAACACCAATGTTGGTTCCTTTTAAAAAGCATTCATGGTGTCCATGAAGATAACCGTTGAAAACCTTTATTTCTTCTTCTTCTTCTTTTAATAGAGAAATGGAAAGGAAAAGCGTTGGCATTTCAAGGTTTGTTAAAGTTTTGATAGTGTTTTTTTGATAAAATATTTCGCTTTTGAAACTTGAGTTTTTATATTTCTTCTTAGGACATTTACATCGGTAATTCGGCCCAAAGATGTGCTCTCTAAACTTCGCCAGCTATCAGAACTTTTGGCAACCGAACTTAACAAAGAAAATGTTTCCGTACGTAATGATACACACCAATTTGTTCGTTATTAAAATGATGATTTAAACTTACTAGAAAAATCCAGGGAAAAACTATTGTCGTTACCTATAAAACAGTATCTTTTAGGACATTTACGCGCACAAGAACCATTAACAAGTATATCCATTCTGCAGATAGCCTGTTTCATTACAGCAGACAAGTAATTATTGATAAAAAAAAAAGTGGTGATTATCAGTTAATATGATCATTCGTTGTCGATGTAAATTTCAAAATATGTGTATATAGATAATGGAATCCGAGACGCCCGTAGATTTAAGGTTGATGGGAATTCGACTGACCAAACTGCGTCCTCGTGACATAGAAATGAAATGTGGAGTAAAAAGGGTATACAATAACATAATTCATCGACACCTTTCATCGATCGTCTATTTATTTTTAATACGTTATGTCACCATAGTACTTTCCTGTAATGGGAAATGGAGTTTACAAAAAGATTCGTTCGGAGCAATCCGGCGGTGAAGAGTCGGCAAATAATGTAGAATCGCCTAACGTCGTTAAAAACATCACCTCTACTTCGAATTCTAAGTCTAAATGGCATGAAGTTCCCGCTATCGCTCGGTTTTTTAAGTGTCCAAACTGCGAACGACAATATATCAACGAGAAAATCGTCCACGTCAATGACCACTTGGATCAATGTCCAATACGAAGTACAAATCCCGAGGACTTCAGAAACGAATTAATTCTGAAGACAAATGTTAACCCAACCTTCGGAGGCGATATAACCCCGGACACCATTGATTGTTTCTGCTCTAGGAATGAAAAATTTGACGGCGTCGCTTATAACCGAAGTGACGGAAGGGTTGATCGCACATTGATAGAAATTTCTGATGGGAATGATCAGCAGCCTTGGAAAGAAATAACCAATCATCCAAACGTCAACCATGCAGACGTCGGTCAAAATGATCAAAGCCTAGGGAATTTTTTGGATACCGAAAATATCCCTGAAGGTCAAAAGTTGGGGTTTTGGGAGTGCCCAATTTGTCAAAAAGTCTTCAAAAAACCTACATACATGCGAATAAACTCTCATGTGGACGTGTGTTTGAGGAAGGGAGTCTTATTAAGAAATCGAAGGTAAGCAGAGTCTCTCTGTTCAACTTTTTTCTTTTCGATTATTTGAATATTGATCATTTTTGAACAAAACCCAGTCGAAAAGAAAAAGTAAAACACGGTAAAAGTCCGAAAGAAAAAAACTTGTTTTGTTTTTTCCATAGGACATACTCGCGTTAAGGAGCATGTAATTTATTTTGTATTACTGATAAATTATTAAATTAGGAATTTGACCTTTTTAGTTCTCAAAATTTGATACTGAATTGATTCCAACTTGGAGAATGCATTCCAACGAAATCTGAACATACAGTATAATACAAATATAATATAAATAAATAGTATATAGTATAATATAGTACTGTATGCAACTCTAAATTGGTTTTTTTTCTTAACCCACAACCATACCATATGGCTTAATCTTTATTAAAACGTTTATGTAACATCTATAATATTGCAGATTTTTCGTACTCATAATTGCATAGAAGTATTCTAAGTTAGGTTAGAGGACAATATTTTACTTCTCTAGGGAATTGGTATAAACTCTATCCATTAGGTTCATCACCAACGGTTTGTCATTATAGATTACCTGAAAATCATGAATTGTTATATTAATAAGAAGAAAGTGAAAAGAGATACGATTTAAGTATCCCTTAAAAAATCTATTAATTGAACAATATCCTTTCAAAAGGGATTTTCCTGATTAAAATATTATGTTTACTTCTACTTAAACCTCAAAAAAAATCTTTTTTATTACTATTTATAGCTTCAAGCAAGTTAATTCAACTAGGCATATCATTTAAATAAGCATTGAATTGAAATAGCTCAAGAAAACCTAAAAACCTTGGCTTCTAATAAAAAAAAAATCTTCTTACTACCTAAAAACCTTAAGAAAAATAAAGTTTTATTATTTATATTGTCTATTTCTTATCTTTAAATTTCCTGAATATCTTTTTTGAAAACTTAAAATTTTTGAAAAAAAACAAATTTTGATAATGTCAAAGATATTACTTGATTTTTTTTTTAATTATCAAGAGTCAATTTTAAGTAAAATAAATTATAAACAAGAAAAAAATAATAAAAAAATTTTTTAAGTTATACTGCAAATTATTTTAAAAGTATTAAAGCTTTATTAACAAAAAAAAACAAAGAAATTTCTTGTAAATATCTTTTTTATATATTATTAGAAGATTGGTAATAAACGTTTTATATACTTTTAAATTATAATAATATACTGTATATAAATAATATAAATAATAATTATGTTATATAATATACAGTACTAAATTATATTAAGACAATACTTGTAATTTTATTTAAATAATATTTTATTAATATAATATTTTTATCAATATTTAAACAATAAAAAAATTATTTAGAATACTTTCCGCTGATCCCCAAATTTTCAAAAAAAAATTTTTTTTGGTAATTTTTTGAGAAAAAGAGAAACCAGCCAAAAAAAACAAGAGAAATCAAGAGAAATCACTTTTACAACTAAACAACTTACAAAAACAAGAGAAATCAAGAGAAACCATTTTTACAACTAAACAACATACAAAAACAAGTTCAAGAACTCTTTATAGAGTACAGAAGAGGTAAATTTTACAAAAATTACCAACTTCTACTATATAAATTTTTTCTTTTAGAAAAAGAAAAACAACAAGAAAAACTGATTCACAGTAAACTCTTGGAAGCCCAACATCAATCTTACAAAGCTTCTAGCCAGGCTAGTGCAGGTTAACACCTTTCTAGACATCAAGAGAAGCTTTACAAGCAATAACTCAAACTAATAAATCAGTACAAGTCCAAATACTCATAAAACCTAGAGGGACGTCCAAGCTTCATTGAGTATATAATAAAGAAACATACACATCACAACAACAGCATTTCAATAATATTATGTCACATAAATACAGACACGTATATTTTTCATAACAAGCTCAAAGACGTATCAAATAAATAATGTTAATACACTTTATACGTGTTTACGCAAATCAATTATCAACAACCCCGTAATCCCACGTGTTTACACAAATTAATTATCAACAACCTTATAATCATATGTATTTATTATTGACTAATTAACAATATCAACAATACTATCACAATATACATGTGAAACAAATATTACCAACACGTCACAACAAACAACAAGGTTTTTTCATATTACCAAAATAATAATAAGAAATAAACAAACCTACAACATGTGTCTAGGAAATATAACAATAATTATCAGCAAAACACAACAATATCAAATACAGTCAACTTACTTTCTATCACATGATTAATATGTCTATGAGGAAACACAAGCTTTTACAGATCACTAAAAAAAGATAAGCATACATTATAGAGACCTTAGCTCAATTATCAAACAAATATAATCAACAATGGAAATTATGGGTTACACAAACCCTTCTTAATATTACTTCAACTCAAGAAGTCATCATAAACCCAACTTCAGGTCCAACCCAATACTCAATTATAGACAGCATCATTGCTAGAATTCTGAATGTCGATCATATCACCTTTATTAAAGTTAACGTTCTCAGACAACACATCCTTTATCTATAAATCAAAGGACAAAAAAAAGAAAAAGATCTTCTAACTTTATTTTTAGAGGATAAATAATTGAACATAATAGAACAAGCTGAACAAGCACAATATTTTTCACAAAATATCATGTCAAATTAGACAACACCTGAAAACAATCTTCCTATACATAGCTTATCAGATAAGGCAATCGCTATGGAAGTTCAAACAACCATAATAATTGGGATTCTAAATATTACTGAAATTGAAATGAAAGATAAGTAGCTTGAATATATAATCGAAATGGAAGTTATCAGTGAGAAGATTAAAGAGGACAATATAGCTGAGCAATATACATATAAGACAAAAAATAGACCAAAAATATTCAGTATCAATCCCTTTCATATTAAGGCAGATGAATATAAAATGGGTGTATTTACTTCTAAGCTTCCAGGAGAAACTGAAACAGAACAAATAGCATATTTGCAAAATATATTAGGCTTGCCAAAAGATTTTCAGCCCTTCAAAAAAGAATTTATCAATAGCAATTCATAGACAATATTCTGTTGCGAAGAGGAGGAAGATGCATTTCAATATCTTGAAAAAATTAACAAAAAAGAGGAAAAAAAACTTTACAATTATATCTATAGATATAGAAAAATGGTTAAACTCTATTCAATCATCAAATAAAAAAGTTTTCCAGTAAACAAAAGATGAAGAAAAAACTACACTAGTGGTTACACTTATAGACATTGACCAAAACCACTCACATCAAGAAATCAAATTTGCTCTCAATAAATATGGACATATAACAAATATTCATATCTATAATCATTCACGATCACAACAACGAATCAAGGTATGTATTACTCCTTATAAGGAATATATCAATCTTGAGGAGAAATAGATAATTCATACAAATACAAAAACTATCAGGGCAATCTTCACTCAACATAAGCCTGACGATAATGAAATTAATAGAATTATTAAACAGTGTAATTCACAATCATTACGACTTTATGGAACACATAATACTACTACTGGTTTAATCACATGAGCAGTTAAACATATCAAAGCCAAATTATGTTACATTCCTAGAAATCCATATACACTAAAGAGAAGAGACTATGCAGTAACTTGCTTCTCATCAGCACAAGATTTGAATAATGCTTTAAAACAGCATATATTTATTCATGGCCATAAATTTACCCAGAGTGCTAAATAATATTTTAAAAAAGAACAAAGTTCTTCTCAAGAAAGACAAGATCATATTAGCAAGAGTGCTAGGGAACACTTTAAAAAAGAAATAGAATATGATGAAAAATTGACTCATATTGAAAGTAGTGAAGATAATGAAGAAAAAGTCCACATCAAAACAATACATGGCAAACTTTACTCAAGACAATTGGGTCAAACTGATATCAGAAGCAATATTAAAGTCAATTGATATACAACATCTGAGGATAAAGTAGAAATAGAAAGAGATTCTAAAAAAAGAATAGATCTGGAAAGGAGGGAAAAAAGAAAAAGATATAATTTTCAAGGCAACAAACATACTACTAGAACAATAGAAACTCCTCAATTTTTTGCCACTGGTAGTAACAGGGAGCCAATAAAACCTTGTTATAAAAGATGTTGAAATGATAGATCTGAAAGTCCCTATCCTAAAAGTGAAAGTGATCAAGATCTCCTTCATCAGATTTTAAACAATCTTAAACAACTAAATAATAGAATAAACATAATTGAAGGAAAAAACAGGTAGTCAGAATAGGATAAGAGGAAGGTGATGGAATAATCGCTCCTGAAATTAGTATCAGTCTAATCAACATATATCAGGAGTGAGTTTGATCCACAAGAAGAGTCAAGCTCATCCTGAAAAAAAGGTACAATCCCAAAAGAAACTATAGACATCAACATAACCCCTCCCAATACAACACATAATACATTACCAAATAACTTTATCAGTGCAATTAAAAAAAACACTAGTAATAAAATTGAAAAGGAGTATACATTATACAACAAGTATACTATAGATAACTCTACATTAATGGATACTATTTCGATCAGAACACATAATATTAAAGGAACTAATATCAGCCTGAATTAACAAAAAATATACTGTCGTAGGCTATCCCAGCAAGTCCATCACTAATCCATAGTGCCTCGCATAATCTAGACTTCTCAAGAATACTCACAAATAATACAAAGAAGAGAACGCCTCCTATAAAGAACACTTAAGGAAGGCAGAGATGTGGTGATTGACTTGGTCGAAGGTAAGTGTCTCTTTATTGCATTCTGTTTCTTTGGTATATTACCAACTCTTATCTTTATTCTCAATAAGGGCTGTTTTTCCTAACACATTCAGCTCTGTCTTTTCGGCATACATTGGTAAGCTATTTATATTTTTCTAACTAACAATGGGCTATCTACTTTATAATCGGCTATACTAACCCTAAGCTTT